AAAAGACGCAACAATGAAGTTACAACGAACTGAAATTCTTGATTAAAAGGTACCCACGGAAACCTCTGTAACAACGATAACCACTCTCCGAGATAACTCCAACCACTAGGCTAGTTCTTCTGCAGGCTAACATCTATATGCGCGCATTTATTTGTCCTTTGGTTTGGCTAAGGATATTGAACTTATTGCGCACATTTAAACTCAGCGTGACAGCCACAACCAAGTAGTCGAAATTATGGTGGAAATGCCGATATGTGAAACCGATTTGGGCGCACGTAAGGAATTTCTTGTAAGATGGATCACCACACTAGGGATCCAAGAGAAATTCATACTAATGCTCTGTGAGACACCGAAACGAACTAATTAACACGTGAGGTCGGAAGAAAAGTGGCCACCCTTAAAAAGTCGTGGCGCGGATCAACTCGAAAGGCATTCATCTTTGCAGTGGGTGAGCAGACCATCTGTTCTCGTTATCAAAATTACACCTGGGCATCGAATTACGTCTCTTTTAAAGCCTGGAAGATGCGACAGCACTCATCTGACAACCGAGAACTTTGATCAATTTTCCAATAATTTGAAGTGCATAGCATGAATGTGCTAGCACTAGTGAGTATTCTGGTAGACAAAGGAAAGCTATGAGTACGGCAACCTTACTATAACCTCAACATATCTTCGATTTTGTGCCTGTAAATCAATGAACCTCTTGGCAATAGAGATATCTATTTAAATTCGTTTTAACTTCGAGACGCAGGAAATGGCAAGTCAGATTTAAAGTAAATCTAAGTGGAGCATTCGGAGTACTGGAGATAAAGATCCTTTCTTATTGGAGTTCTGGTAGGGGAACTGTTAAAAAGGGAGGTCATTTTGCAATACACCACTAGTAAACCTTATTTAAACCTATTTGGATTTAGACATTTTTTGTAAATTAAAAATGACCTTAAATGAAGCCTCAGCGTAGTTACTACTTTGTTTCACCCTCCAACAAAAATTGCCATCCATCGTTAAAATCATATTGATTTTCAAATGGATAGGTGAATCGATGCCCGTTGCAGTGTTCTTCATTGGCACAAGAAAAATACTAATAATTTGGGTGCAAGCCTTGAGAATAAGCCCGAGGCCAGCAACGACTTGTCTGTGATTTTTTGTAGTAACTTGGCAATAGACTTATAGGGAATTTACGATATATGCCAGTGAACCCAATCCTAATAACTTCGTCACCTAATGCGGACGGAAAATAACGAAACTCTTAAGTGGTGGCGACGTTTAGTAACCCTGTTAGATAAAAAAAAGATACTGTCAGGACAGACATGAAGTATACCAAAGACCTATTTGTGACATATGCCGTTGAGTTCATTCCTAATCCTCCCATGTGCACATTATGTTTTCAAGCACCTTTTTGGCCTTCAGTAACCTCTGCAGTATGCGACGGAGTGGTGACGCATTGTGCTGAATTCGTGCGAGGACATTGGACTCCAAATGGCTTTCCCAGCATTTAATGGTTGTAGCTCTGGTGAATATATATATATATATACATAAATGTATATACGCATGGCACATTTACCGACTGCTCGCAGTTCTTGCTCTGAAGCGTTCAGTGCCTCATTTTTGGTCATACTTATCTGCACTTTTGTAAGTTAACTGTGCTAGCGCACTCACTGGCTAAGTTAATGGATGATTACTAACCTAGGCGGTAGGCTTTTCCTTGTGGGTTTACTTACAATTGACAAGGCTGCTTTGAGAGGGCCCACCTTCACAAAGATAGCAGTATTTTAAAAAACGGAGCCTCAATTTTCGGACTATGACCTATTGAAACTCTTCAGTTGGAAGACATAAACCACCATCTTGATACTGATAACGCTCTGCTTACCTGACGTCCAGAATTTTGTAAGGCACATGTACCCTCACAGGAATTCGACGTTGCTCTCACACCTCCTCCCAAGATCTTCTTGTTGCCAGCCTCTGTCTACAGAATAATCGTCATAACACAGCAATGTTTAGCGGAATTACTTCACGTTGTACATTTTCTTCTTCAACCTTTGCGGGTTTTTTGTCGTGTGAAGCTAAGATCTTAGAGATAATTTTCTTCATTTCCTTATCGCTGTATGCCGAATCAGCTGATGTTTTTCCGTCAAGAATTCCGAGTCTTGATATTCTTTTACACCAGGAAATTTCAAATCTCTCCTCCGCTTTCCAGTCCTTCCACCAATAACTCCCTTTGCAAACACAAAAATGCTGTGGAAAATATAACAAAAACAAGGCCGTTGTAGAAGATTCACGTTTAACCTCAGTTGAATAGAACAATGCGTTCCTTGCAATCATGTCTTGGAAATTTAGCTTTCTTTTGCAGAACAGGCACGTATCAGAGAAATTTTGATAGATATATCTTTGGACGGATTGTTTATTTCTCGTTGAGCTGCAGGCAAAACTTATTCTCCAGTTGAAAACATTAGCTATATATTTCTACCCTACGAAAGCTTTAGGAGGTCAAAACAAACTTTTTATAGACTCGAATACACTGGTTCGGCGCTCTGAAGCTCTTTGTCCTTACATTGAAGTATGCCTAACACAAAAATAAAAAATGTCTTGTTCCTTAGGATCAATAAGCAGTGCGTTCTAAAGCGCAAGTAATTTTTGCGGTTTGCACTGTAAATTGATTGACAGTCAGCTTGCAACAGCCACGTAGTATTCAAGATCTACAAAATTAGGCGGGGACATTCTTTTTAACCTCTATTTATCATACCAACCATGATGTTTGTGTGCATTGTCCTGATGGATGTAAATAGGCCTCCTCACTAATTCAGTCGGAAGAACAAGAATTCGGAGGTACAGTGGTCTTTCAAAAGAATCTCTTATTTTCCATGCTGCGTTTACGCCAAAGTTCCATTTAAATCTCCATAATCCGCTTCTGTTTATGATAGCGTGTGCCATTACTACATTGTACGCCAACCTGATGAGCACGAAAAAACTGCGTGACTTTGCTGCGAAATACTGAGTGCAACAGTTAAATTAGGTTATTGGTATATTGACATTTCTCTAACATGCCTTATGTATGATTTCTTCAAACAAGATAACTGAAAATGCCGTGAATGTTTGGACTTTCATGAACTCACAAGAAATATTGGCACCATCTAAATTGTGAACATTTGCCCCATCTCTCATTGCTCTGTCTCGAAAGACTTCTTATAAACTGCCGGCATAAACATTGGTCTGTGAACCGAAACCTTTTCCTATAAATACAACAACCGTAGGTCGTAATCGATAGCGGGTTCATTCGGAGTACTATAAGGCGATGCTTATATACTTATGAAAGTGTTTGCAAACAAATTATTATACCTTAATAGAGAAATACACAACGTGGTGAGCCGGTCACAGTTGCAACCACTCTGCTACATTGTCTCAGCAAATGATTTTCTGCTCTTGAGCGCGGCACGCATCTTCATACAGCGCGTGAATAGCGTTTTCTACTGGCAGCTCACCACTGAAATTTGATAAATTCTTATCTCACCAAACAGGGAACACAGTCCCAAGTATTGCGACAAACGTCCTTACCAGACGTAAGTCAATCAAGTAAAGGTCGAAATTGAAAAATCTGTGAAGCTCTGGATGTTAATCTATGTATAAAATGTTAACCAGTGATATATATAACGGGATTTTATTCCCTCCTGGTTTGCGACAAAACTGGTGAATTTCCTCAACCGGGCTCACATACAGTATCACATGTTCACCTTTCAGAAGTGGGTTGAATGTATGAGGCGAACTAAAACAGATGCATTGACAGTGTTTTAAGAAAATTCTGCAAACTTGTAATACTCATTGTAAAACCAGTTCAGTAGACCTATTCTTGGAAGGTGTTCTCTCTCACTGTTGCAGTTGTTCGACCTGGGGACTGGACGCACCTCATGAGTATATATATATATATATATATATATATATATATTGGAAGTTCAGATAGTTGTTAAAAGTCCGTTCTACCACACCTGCCCATAACATTATTGATGTTTCACCTTGGTGAATTCGACTAGGTGCTTTCATAACTTTTCTATCCATCGGTCACAGTCTGTGCGAATTTCGATTATAAACTGGCCATTTTATGCGAAGCTCCATCTCTTTTTGATGCCTTTCAGACACTGTCTGCCCTTAAGGATGTAAACTCTTGGTCCGACCACAGTAGCGGTTTTTACTCAAAAATGAACTTTTGATGTACTTATTGAGTTGTGCACAATTTAATTGGTAGAATACTGGGAGTAATCAGCAGACACCAAGCATCACACCAAGCGGTACA